TTTATAAAAATTATAATATTTTAAGTTTCATACGAAATTTATGAGCAATACAAAATTTATGAGTAATAAAATACGAAATTTATGAGTAATAAAAGAAGCCTTTATAATTTTTTAAGTTTTATACAGTACCATTAAATTTCAGCAGAAACTTAAATATAAAATACCAAGTTCAAAAGTTTATTACCGTGACATTATTTATTTGGTATTTACGTCATAATTTTTAGTTTTACCCGATTTTCACATTTATTTTTATTAAAACAACAATCTAATCAATAAAGACACATTTTCAGAGAAAAACTCGAGCTAATACCATAGCACTTTTTTCAGAAATCTAGTTGAATAAATAAGATTTTAAAAAAATGCGCAGGAAAATATATTTAATAATTCAAAAACTCCCACAGAATAACATGAAATATGTGGCATTTCCAGCAGTTCGTTTTGAAATAAACAAAATAGAAACTAAGAGAGTAAAAATACAATTTGCAGGAAATCGGAACAAATTTGGCAGCTTTAAAAAATATGATTGGCGATCTCTCCAACTGCATCGAAGATCTTCTCCCGCCTCGGTATTCCATTCCTTTTACCATCTTCCTTTGTGAGGAAAAAAAAACTACCAAATATTTTATCCATTTTACTAGTGTGTGCCATTTCTATTCGCCAACTATGAAAAAGAATAATATTTTCCCAAAGTATGAAATTCTTCCGATTTTCAGAAGTACGGGAAAAATTTAGTGCAGCCAATATTTCGACTAGGAATGTTTACATATCGAGATGATTTCTTATTTTGGGGTACTGAATTCTTCTTCTTTTTGGCGGTAAATGTGCGCGTTTGTGAAAAACCAATATTACTTCTATTTTAGCTATGCATTCCGTTTCAATCACTCTCGTCTCTTTTGTTAAAATTGTTGAATTTGCATACAAAGGTGTGTTTGAAGCAAATAAGGTAGTAAATGAAGTATCGACTGACTCTCAGATCGTTTAACTTTGGTGTTAGTCTTGAGTAAATATTATTTGGTTGATGGCAATAGAGGGCTTGAACTGCAGGTCACAGAAACTTTGTATATATTAGTGATACAAACGATAGGAACAAAAGAAAAAGTCATTAACCCTCCTTTTTTTTCCAAAGAAATCATGACTTTTTCTTCAAAGTTTGATTTAACTTTAAATGTTTACCGCCATTTTGTATGAAAAATAAGAAATGCATATATTTGTCTTACGTGATAGCAAAATCACAGATATTTCTCAATCAAAGTTGACATAAATTGAATCATTTGTAAATATGGTGGGTTCATGATTGCTTTTTTTAAAAAAAATAAGTAGAAACAATCGAATATAAAAAAAATCCGATAAATTAATTGAAAAAATCGATTGTAATTTGGAATGCATTTTTTCTTACAAAATCAGTTTTTACTCTCAACATGTTCTATTAGTAATGGATTTTAAACTTAGCACACTTCAAAAATGCACGAATTGGAAATGCCAGCCGCCATGTTTCAAGCGCTCGAAAACAGAAGGCCGTTTTCGAGCCTTGCCATATGGGAATGAGAAGAAACAAAAGCGATTTGAAATTTAAAAAAAAAAAAACAGGATGTTGCCAATGAAAAATGGATAAATAATGGTAAGAAACGAGACTAAAAAAAGAAACACAGAGACCGAGAAAGAAAAAAGATGAAAAACAGAACAAGAAAACCCCCAGTGTCCGAGAGGGGCAAATCAGGGTGTATGGGCAGTTGGGGAGGAGCTACCTCTCCATAGTGCGTAGAGCCTCTTTATTCACTTTTTAATCTTCTCATTCACATCTGATAAGTCGTGAAAATGGGCGTCTGTTTTTGAGCGCTTAAAACATATTGAGCGTTTTTTCCAATTTGTATATTTTTGAAACGGTCAATGTTTTAAATCAAAATCTTACCTCTTCAATTTTTTTTGGATTATTTATTTAACCTCAATTGTTATCCTTTTTTTTTTTTTTTTTTTGTCATAGGGCATTTATTTTTGCAGTCAAGTTAATAGGGTAAAAATGCGGTGGTAACGCTGTGTAAACGTTATGAACGCCAAAATACTTTTTAATTTGCGACTATAGATTTAAATAGATTAGTGAATTAATGAAAAATGGATTTCAGTCATGGGTAAACAGACTTCATAGATATTTTGTGATCTATTATGATTTTAAACTATAAAACAATGTACCTTTTCTCTGCAATTTGATTTTTCCCTTACTTAAAGGATCTTGTAAAATCTATACTTTATGGTCGAGATTTTTACGGAATCAATTAGATACATATTTTTATTGATTTAAATCTGATTTTGGAACTTTCCTAAAAAATTGTTTTTAACTTTTGCTCTTATTAAGGGTGCTAAAATTTAAAATGATCTTATTTTCCTGTTTATCTCTTACAATTCTATAATTGGAGGCTCACTCAATATTATGATTTACAGTTAAAAATTCAGTATTACCACACATGAAGTTTTTCTTATTAGTTATTTACATGTCATTTCACAAAAATCACATGCCAGGCAGCAAAGAACAACGACATAATTGCAAGGTAGACCAGGCTAATCACTAATGTGCTACTTATACTAATTTTAGCAATAGAACGCAGTATTTATCATAGTATTTTCAATTTTGTCATAGTATGTATAAATTACAAAACAAAGTTGTGCTTATTGACTGCAGTATCAGAAATTACAGGTTCATAAACTGATTCAAGGATTTACCGATTCACTACGTCGTATGCACCTCGCTTAATAATTGAGACAAAAGCACCATTATTTTTCATCATTTAAAAGATAATTTGTAACATTATTTTTTTCAATCATTAAAAACAACTTTAAATATTAATTTTAAAAAAATTTTAAATTTTTTGTGATTTGGCTTTATTTAACTGTTTGTAATTTCGTACTCACTTAAAATGAACGAGTGAAAATCACTCAACTTAAGTGCTATTTCACTCTTTCATCTAGAAAAAAGGAGCCTTCTCATCTTGAGTGAAAATCACTCAAGTGAAAGAGTGATATTGAAATCACTCAAGTTCGAGTGAAAAAATTTCACTCAAACTTGAGGGATTTTCAATCGTGTTTGAGTGATTTTCAGTATTACTTGAGTGGATCGTTTTCACTCAAANCACTCAAGTGAAAGAGTGATATTGAAATCACTCAAGTTCGAGTGAAAAAATTTCACTCAAACTTGAGGGATTTTCAATCGTGTTTGAGTGATTTTCAGTATTACTTGAGTGGAGGGTTTTCACTTGAATTTGCGTGAAATCCAATCATTTTTCATTCATAATTAGCATCATTTAAGTGAATATATTTTAATCATACTATCATTATTTATACTCCTTACTTGAATGTCATTTAAATCACATTTGATTTGAATTGATCCTTTTCCGACTATTCACTGAATATTTAAATGCCTATCATAAATAAGATGAAACGAAAAATATTTTTAGCATGGGCAATAGAAATAATTTAGCAGCATTCATTTCTTTTAAATGTCATCAATGATTTGTTCGGTAATGACTAAGTTTTTTTTTTTAATTTTAAATCTTAAACAATGATAGTTGATTAAAAAAAAAAGTGAAAGCTTAGTAATTCATCTGTATTTAACAATAAGCTGAACATAATGGCAAGATAATACTCTTTAGAGATCGAAAGCTTTGTGACAGGCCTCAGTTCGAAATTTTAAGAATTTTTAACTTTTTGTAATGAAAAAAATTTAGATATCAGGATATATACAGCAGAACCAAATATCATCTATCTTGTTTTATCTTTTTCAAACTGATTTCTTATACAAAATTGTGTAGATGTTTTTCAAATTATGTATGACAGGATTCTGAGAACTTTTTAGAATCTAAGAGCACGTATTTGCTAGATCTAACCATAAAACGGAAATAAATAAACGGAGCATGCGATCAATGCCACACTTTCTTCTAACTTTTACAGGCACGCTTTATTGTTTCAACCCAACACCTTAGCGTGAATCATATTTTAACGGCGAACAATATATATTTCATGAAAAACAAATGTTACGACGTTTCTGCGACGCCGTTGTAAATATTGATAATTTCTTACCTTTAATGATGTATTGTAAATCACGCTGCATAACACTTCAACGTGCTGAACAAAAACATCGTTACCATATTTTCAATTTTTTTTTTCAACCTTCAACTTTATGGACGAATATTTTTATGTCAAAATTAACATTTTTAATAAATTTAAGGTGTATTAGTAAATATTTTTATAGTTATTAATTTAATTTTGTACCATTTCTAATCAATGTTAAACAATGTTAAGGAAGAAGGTATAGAACTAAAAAAACAAAATAAAAATATAGAGAAAACATGGAAAATAATAAAGATTAATGAAAAGTAAAGAAGAAAAATTATTAAAATACAATAGTTTTTAAAAAATATTTCGAAACAAAAATTGAAAATTTATATGTATTAAAAAGCCGGAAAACAAAAACAAAAAAAAATGAAAAAATATAATCTCTTCCTCAACTCACACTATTATATCCACAAAAAGAAGTGCTTTCTAATATTGTAGCCAAAGCAAAATAAATCAATACAATAGTGGGAGGAGCACTAAATAAAATCGAAACAAAATAGAACGCATTAATTAAAAAATATCTAACGCAGGAAACAGAAAATAAAATGTAAAGAAAAAACAAAACAAAACAAAAAACGAAATCTATAAAGCGAGTAGCGAATTAAAACGAACTTGCACGTACCGGAATCCATGAAGAATGATTTAAAAACAATTTTTAAATCATTCTTGAAAGATAGAAAGATAGTTAGAATATATTTAAGAATTCCAAAACATTGCAGTGTGTCATTTATGTCTTAAATCAGTGTATTTCTTTCTGAAAACTATTAAAAAATTTAAGGCAGAGTGTCATATTTTTTGCTTCGTAACTCCTGTTTGAATATGTATAGTTATCATTTTTAATTCTTTTTTAGATAGATTTTTTATGTAATGACGTAGAATTTTTCTTTCTTCTTTAGGTTGATAACATCACCTCTTGTCTTGGTTACATCGGAGAATTGGGTGTGCAACTTGATGGTGTCACCTCAAAAGGTAAAAAATAAATTATTTAAAACTGAATTATTTTGGGTGGGGTTTTATTAAACTAATTATATATCTTATTATTGCTAACGTTATTTAAACGAAATTAACTACATTTGTTCATTTTCGCTTGTTTTTATCTTTATTTCTTTCGCAGTCATTTGTATAATTAATGTTTATAAAAATCATTTTAAAATTTATAAATGTCATGCTTTATTTCTTTAAGCTTCAGTATTTATTCATTTTGATTTATTTATTTATCCTCTTTTAAGCTTATTTTTTGTCACAGAATCTTGTTGTTTCGTCATCTGTATAATTATTCTAAAAATTATTTCAAGAAATCCTTAACGTTTAACTTTTATTGCCCATCAATATTCTTACTCAAATCGTTTTTAAATCTAAAAGTCCTCAATCTTTCTTTGTTTAATCTTCTAAAACTAACATAATTTATTTATTCAATTTAATACGTAAGATTCGTCATTTCATTTGAATTAAAATTTTTAAAAAAATACACTTTTCTGAAAAGGGTTTCCGGTATTTCTAAAATGGAATATCGCTTTAATTCATCATAATTACATATTGGATTCATGAAAAAAAGTTTAATGATTTCATAAACTTTTTAAACGAAAGTACTTTTTGCTAAATCGATTTTCGGTTGAAGATTTATTCACTAATGAATAGAGTTTTCGGTAAAAAGCTAAAAATTCGGAGAGCATTTTTGTCCCATTTTGTTTAATTTTATTTAGTTCTTAAAGGAAAATGACTGTTAGGTTGCCATAATATTTGATGTAATTATTTCAACGCAACCGAGATTTTATTAGAACTGCTACTGTTTTTCTTGTTATTACATAATTATTTCCTTAGGAATAAAAATGTCTTGATTAGAGTTATGTCATAAACTTTGACAAACACTTTTTTAAAAGTGTTAAATTAATTGAGTTTTGGTGTTTATCTTCATTCTTTACATATTTAGGAAATAAAAATTATCCGGCAATTCAGTTAATTTCTTTTTTTTTTCTTTCTTCGTTTGCTGAATAAGTTAAAAGACTAGCAAATTGTCCAAAATTTTTCGAACAATGTTTTGAATTTTCTAATAACTTTCTTTTTTGGGGGGAAACAAGTTTCTTGATTATTTACGTAGTTATATTTATCTGATATGGCATGAAACATATAACACATGCATCACATTTTGATTATATTGGCAAATGAAATTTACTAAATAATATCAGTTGATACTTAGTTGTTGTTGTTGTTGTTGTCGTATGCCTTTAAGGCAAAGGAGATGCGTCTCTTCTTGTTTCCAGTGGCGCCATCTATGGAGAAGAATTTAACTTCTGTAAAACGCATACGTCACATCCAATCTATAGAGTCAACACAATAATACATCCATTCATTCATCCACAGACTGTAATTTTGACTTAAAAAATTACAGAAATTTTATATGAAACAGAGAACGATTAATCTTTAACTCAGTATCCCCAGAGGTATGATTTGTTATAGGAACATGGAGGACTTTGTGACCCAACAGATTTAACGTACACCAGTTACTATTTACTACACAGGGAGTCTTCGGTCGGCGGGAATCGAACTACCATTTTGACATGGGTTCAACACCCTACCAACCAGGTTATTGAATAACGCTTTTTAGCGTTATCGAATAATAGGCTTTTCCTTAAGTGCTATAAGTGTCTAATGGTATTTTAGAACTATTTAGATTAAGTTTTATCTGCTTTTAGTCAGTAACATCTAAGCGGAGAGATGAACGCCGTTAAAATATTACCATGCAGTATGGTAATGACTTTTTTGGCAATAATTGGCAATGAAAGAAATCTTGGTAATAGAAACCGAAATATACGGTATTTAAACCATTCATTTGGTAATTTTTCGGTTCATATTTTAACGTTCTACCGAAAATCTTTGTTTTCAAAATTATTATTCTCATTACTGCACATTTTGTGAAAAATACATAACTGAATAGTAAATTTAATAGAATAAACAGAGCATGGTTTTCATGCCATGCTCTTAACAATAATTAAACCAGTGTTTCCCAACCTTTTTTGTGCCGTGCCCTACTTAAGCCTTTCTAAAATTCTTATGCCCCCCTATGTGACATGCATATAATTTTTAATATTAAAAAATTGAATTGTTCACATAAGAAACTTAAATGATAGGTTTCAGTGAGAAATCTCTTGAAAATTGTTGACGAAACACAGTAAGTAAAATTTCGACTTATAATGAAAAACTAAAATTCAAATTCGAAATAATTTTCATAAAGATTTTTCTATAATAATTTAATATTTTAATCTAGAGAGATCCTTGCGCTTGCTGCACAGAGATTTTATGTTAGTTTCCAATTTGGTTAGCTTCAGCCTCAAGTCTCCCCACTGTGTTATATCCAGGCGATTTCCTTTTTTTTTTAAACCAGTAAATCATTTACAGCACTAAATCCACATTCAGTTAAATATGAAGATGGAAACGGTAACAATAGTTTTTTTGCATTTTTGGTTGAATTTGGGTACTNGAGGTATGATTTGTTATAGGAACATGGAGGACTTTGTGACCCGACAGATTGAACGTACACCAGTTACTATTTACTGCACTAGTTTTCGGTCAGCGGGAACCGAACTACCATTTTGACATGGGTTCAACGCCCTACCAACCAGGTTATTGAATAACGCTTTTTAGCGTTATCGAATAATAGGCTTTTCCGTAAGTGCTATAAGTTTCTAACGGTTATTTAAAACTGTTTAGACTAAGTTTTATCTACGTTTATTCAGCAACATATAAGCGGAGCGAAAAACTCCGCTTGAATATTACCATGCAGTATGGTAGTGACTTTTTTGGTAATAATTAGTAATGAAAGAAATCTTGGTAATAAAAACCGAAATCTACGGTATTTAAACCATTCATTGGTAATTTTTCGGTTCATATTTTAACGTTCTACTGAAAATCTTTGTTTTATTATTCTCATTACTACACATTTTGTGAAAAATACATAACTGAATAATAAATTTAATAGAATAAATAGAGTATGGTTTTCGTGCCATGCTCTAAACAATAATTAAACGAATACAAAATTAACAAAAGTCCAATGAGTCTGAAAAGTCTGTAATTTATTTTTCATTTCACGCTGTGTTATAACTTATTTTAATTGTAACAAAGATTTTTATGCGAAGATATTTTGTAATCCGTCACTTCATTTATGATTTCACGATATTTAATGTTACAGAGCAAGATGATATTCAGAAAATTATAACATTTTAATTTTCTAATATATTGTTTGGGGAGGGAGAAAAGAGAACAGTTAATTAATTTTTATTCCAAATATTAATTGTTTTCTAATTACGGTAAAATAATTTTTCTTAAATAATTACGAAAATACGTTGTAAGAGTAGTTAAGATGATATAAGAATAATTATGAAGAACATATTAAAAATGAAAAATATAGCATTCTGATGTATATGTGTGTTGCATGCTAAGTTCATAATTGAAATCGAAGCATCCTAGAGCGCCTAATCAATACGAAATTTCAAAATTTCGCGAAAAAAAGGAAGGCATGACTAAAGTTTCACATTTTACCTAATCATTAGAAAGAAAAAAAAATACATGATTAGATATAAATTCTAAGCATTCTAAACACAAATTCGGTGATTTGTAGATTCCGTCCTGCATTTTTTACACAGCTGGAAGCACATTTACCACCCAAGTTATCTTGCTCTAGCAGGTCGAATTAGAATGTTTCACTCTTCCAAACGCTCTTTTTTATCTACATATTTATTTATTAATTTGTCTTGTGTGCGTGTGTGTAATGCATTTTAGTTATCTCAGTTTATACTTGTCTGATTTATTTTTATTGGTATTATATAGAATCCATAGGAATTATAGACATATTGCCTAATTAGCTAGTATTAGTTTATAGCACTTTAATGTATTCTTTGAGCTACTTAAAAGAATATTATAAAATAATTCTTTGAATGTGTTTTGATTAAATTTACATTTTTCCAAAAAGACAACTAATTAAAATTTTATGCTTTCAGATGTCAGAGAGGGGAATCTCAAAGTAATTTTGAGCTTATTTTTCAATTTATCAAGATTTAAACAAGCTCAAAAAAATTCCTCTAATGTCGCTTCAAAAAATTCAACCAATGCCCCTGTGACAGTAAGCAACACAAATGCTGTAGTAAAATCAAGTATGGTGGCGCCATCTTTAGGAAGTGAAATGCTCTCCAAGTAAGTCATTGCAAAAATAATTAAATGCATTTTAAGGCTTCATTATTTATTCTAAAACAGATGTATCTACCAATAAAATGTTAAACTAAAGAGACATTTTCTATAAATGGGCAAAAGTTTGGAAGAAAAACTAATTTTACGTTTGTATATTTTGAACATCATATCCAATTATGCGAAAGAAAAACGATTATATCTAAAAATATTAATTTCAGTAAAAGATTTTCTGAACACTATTACGCTTTTTTCTGAACACTATCACACTATTCTCTAAGCACATTATCTCATCATGATCATAATTTTTATTTTTCTAATCAGTTCAACGTCATATTGTTTCACATCATGACAATTTTTAATTAAAGAAATAAAAAAACCTCATAATCAGTGAATCCCAGATCTTACCTAAAAGAAGGAATTAAAATAATAACATATGAACTAGGGAATAATGTTAAAACTAAATAGGAATACAGAATAATATGAAAAATAATAATATAAAAATTAAAATTCCAATAACATAAAAAGGACAAGTTCCGCATTTTATTTTATTTTAACTTAGTTAAATTCAATAAAATATTGATTTTAATATTTTTTAATTTATAAATATGGAAAATTCTTTTTGTTCAATGTATCATTTTTTAAATTTTTTTGATGAGCATTGAAAATGAATAAAAGACCGAAAACTAAAAATTTAATTTTTTTGGCAATAATTTGTTTTTGTCCATACATTGATACAATATAAAATTTTTGTATAATTATGCACCATAAATAATTGTTCGAGTATCTTTATAGACTTCCATCGCCTTTTCGTCCGTCTAGTGGTCGTGGAATTCCATGTCCTAGTAATAAAGATGTTGCGAGCACTAATTCATCCTCATCCAATCCGTCCGCATCAAAGAAGAATAAAGTCATGGCGCCATCTATCATTCAACAAGGTAGGTAATTTAAAATTAATTTTACAGCTTTTAATATTTAGAGTAGTAAATACAAATTGTTTTTGGCTTAAAAAAAAATTATATAAAATAGAATTTGTTTCATTAGAGTTATATTTTACTTCATTTATCTAAACGATTAATATTTAGAGAGTGGAAACTTTTTAGTTTTTGAAAATTCTGTTGCGGAATAATTACAAGAGATGGCAGCATTGATCAAAATTTTAAAATGAAAACTTCAACAAGTAAATAAACTGCTAAGTTAAAATAATGAGTTTCAGGACAACTATCTCTATAACTGAATAAAAAGATGGATTATTTTCTGTTTAAAAATATTCTTTAACAAAAATAAACTAATTGAAATCAAATTAATGCATAATTTTAAATGCGTATGAAATANAAGGTTATTCATTTCAAGGTTAAAAAATAAAAGATAAATAAACGATTGTGATTATGGAAAAAAAGAGATTTAAAAGCTTCTCAAACATTTTAAATTTCATACAGAGAAAAATGGAAGAATGAAATGAATACTTTTTCAATATTCGAAAAATAATTAATTGCATTATTAAAGATTTAGAGAAAGATTATGATTTTAAAGATTCTTGTGTTGAGGTAACTTTCAAGCAACGGGCTTTCCTGCAATTTTCTTGTCATTATCTAATGAAAAAAAATAGAAATCCGTTCATAAATTCCGTTTTTTTTTTTTTTTTTTTTTTTTTTTAAACTTGAAAAACATGTTATTTATTTAGCGATCTGACAGTAAGTGGATTTAGTCAGAAAGTACCGGTTCTTTAAATTTCTTAATTTTAAATTTGGTTCTCAAAAACATTAAAATTTGTACGCAATTAAACTGGAAAATTATTTTCAATGTACGCCAAACAAAACTTTCTGAATTCTGCTTCTTTAATGCATGAAGAGTTTATATATTTGACATTCTGTATATGTTCATTAATGAGATTGCTGAAAAAAATAAGGGATTCGTAACAAATTATGTAAAGATAGTGATCAACAATAATAAACTAATCCCGTTAATCGAAACTTGATTCCTTTTTTTTAATTTAATGTACCTTTTTTTTATTTAGTGTATTTAGTGTATTTACTTTAATTTATTTAGTGTTTTTTTTATTTAGTTTTTATTATTTAGTGTTTATTTAGTGTAGTTTTTTGATTTAGAGTAGTTTTTTTTATTTTGAGTAGTGTGTTTTATTTAGTGTTTGCTAAATATTTTGTTAGAGCTCCGGTTATTAATTTTTATCCAATCCATTTATTACCCATTATGTTTTCCAAATAATATATAATTATACCGTTACAATCACGAATCCGGATGGAGAATGTTAAAAATTCTTATCCTGTTGTTGACCTACAAAAAATCATTTACTGGATAATTATTGCAATTAAAAAAATTGGCATTTAATTAATTAATATCATCTTTACTCATTACTTATTATTAATATTAAATATCTCCAGTAAATTGTTTACATTACGTATCTTCATTCCCTTAATTAGCAACGTTTCAAATGTTATAATTTTCGGATGAATAGTTTTAGATATCTATAGAGAACAGTTCAGAATAGATGAACTTCAAAAACTTAACATATTATATATGAGATGAAGATTTCCCATAAATTTTTTGTTACGAAATGATTATTTTCCCCTTTCAAAACACGTGAGAACCATTGTGGATTGATGATGTTGTTTACAGAAACGGAATAAGAATGTATGACTCAAAAGTGCGTTCCCAAGAATATTATTCAAAACAACTGCCTAGTTTCGCAATTACGGTTACAATGGCAATGTCATGATATTTCCAAATAACAACAAGTATGAGTTTTTTATTGAAATGAGTTAAGATTAAAGAGCTCTGAATTGTGTTGAAACTTTACCTGAAACACGAAACGTAAGAAGATAGTTAAAAAAGAACAGTTGCATAAAAGGTAAATTTAGAATAAAATAGCATTGAAGATAGAGAAGCTATTTAGAAAAATAAGAACCACGAGAAAGGACAGAGAAACGATAGAAACGTAACGAAATTTATTTTGTATTTCTCAAATTTATAATTTAAAATATTATCGTCTGCGAAAGCGAGAGCGTGTTGGTGAAAAATTTACATAACATAACAACATGAGGTTTTACTATTTTGTCTTTACTTTTTACCTTCATTTAAAAAAAGTTTCCAGTTTTGGAATTGTTTGTGAACAACACGGTCAGAATTTTCATTTTGAAATTAAGGTAAAATAATCGGCAAACAGTCTGACCATCCGATTAACCATAAAGTTTAAGTTAGAAACATTTATTTTTACTTTTATTTATTTATTTTTATTTTTACAGTTTTGAGTCTGTTTACAACTATACGGTTTTGTAACCATTTACAACTAGAATAGTTTCTAAACCGTAAAAGTGAAACTTAAACGGACGTTGGTTTTAAAAGCGTAAATACAAAACTATACGGTTTTGTAACCATTTACAACTAGAATAGTTTCTAAACCATAAAAGTGAAACTTAAACGGACGTTGCTTTAAAAAAGCGTGAATACAAAACTATACGGTTTTGTAACCATTTACAACTAGAATAGTTTCTAAACCATAAAAGTGTAACTTAAACGAACGTTGGAGCTCTGTGGGTGTGAGCCATTCCTTGAATGATAGTTATGTATTTGAATTGTCCGGGATCATCGATTGAAGAGGGCAGAATACTGGAAACTCTTCATGTAGAAGAAATGAAATTGTAGTGTCAATTCTGGGATTCGAACCCCTGTTCCGACGGTCATGATATTAACTGATAAGTCCTCTAAACTGTAGTGTGGTGTGTACGTAACAAAAGCAAAATAGCTTTATAAGGTCTGCTTAGTTGGCTCGGATAGAATTCTGATTATTTAACCGTATTGAGAAAAAAAACAATCAATTAACGTTTTTCCTTACACTTAACAGTTTGAAAATAATCTTCTTTATGATTATGTCACTGTTTTGGTTGAATACGTTAAAATAGAAATATTTAAGTCAACTTGATCACTAGACCGAACCCTATTGCAAACCACAATACACGTTTACTTTATTATTATTGTTATTATTATCATTGTTATTATCATTTATTATTATTATTATTTATGAGTATTACAATGCGTCGATCTCTCTCTCTCTCTCTCGATTTCATGTGGTTTCATTTTACCAAACTTTATGCGCAACTACTCTCGCTTTTTGATAGATACCGGTAGCTTTTTAGTCTTTACTTTTTTACTCTATTGATTATTGACATTTTCTGCATTCCAGAAAATAACGATGATCAGCGGTCAACGAATCTCAGTCATTAGGTTAGTACACGCCTAAAAAATCGTAAGTGGTTCGTTTGCGACCGCTGCTGTTTGATAATTTTTTTAGAATTCTTTTTTCTACTTTTAATTTTGTTATGCATTAAGTTGGTGAGTTTATTTTTGAGATATGGGACCAGATAGATCCCATAAATACTTCTTGAGTTGTGAATAAAAGAGAATATCTTCATATTAACGATATTTTTGTTTTTATTGTTTTAATTAAGAATCTGAAGCTCTAACCCACAGTTCAAACTGGATCGTTTTCAATACTAATTCAGGTGAATATCACAAATAAGGAGAGTGCAAACTGACTAACCTGACACGGTCTCAAAAGTCAGAGTTGAAGCAAGAAGAAAACGATGCCAAGGCCTAAAATTTCCGAGGTTGAAAAAGCCAAAACCAAAGAGTGTAGACTGGGATAACTTAAGCGTTACACACAAACGGAAAAAACGAAAGGATTCCGTTCGCAAACGCAAGCATAAAGCCCGTCCCTCACAAAAGTACCAAAATGGTTGAGAATATTGAACCCTACCGAAGACCGAATGGTGACTCTCCGAACCCCTTTCATGCAAATACGAGAATTGAGTGTTGATCACCAGTTAGGGATAAAAGGATCTATTGTCAACGTACCCAATAACTTGCACAAGACCGTAGACTGTCTTACACGCAATATGAATGATTCATTCAATATTCATATAAAATTGAAAATAAAACCTAGCTTTCAAATTATATTTCATGAATGAACTTCTGAATCCGAAACGGGTGTATGATGCAGCTTACAATCTCCATCAAGCACCATTGTAGCAATCCGAAAATGTTAATATTGATCTCGATTGGCTGTTCAATGTCAATTCAGTCATCAAAAGAATTTACACAGAATGTGTCTGAGCTGCATATTTAAATATGTCTGTGAAATTGTGTACCAAGCAGTTCAGGATTAACATTTAAAGATGTCCAAGATGAAAACACAAGAAAGTTTCTTTTCCAAAAAATTAGACAACAACCATTTTGCCAAACCTGTGAACCTGTTTTCTTCATTTTGTAGTGAATCGATTTTATTTTTATATTGCATATTTTCATATTTTGGTCATGAAACAAAATCAACTGGAAATATTTATGTACCAAAAAGCTACCCAAAAAAGAATTTGAATAGAATCTCTAACATTTCATTGTAATTAAAAACTCTGGCCAACGAGGGTAAATTAAATTATGTTTTATTTATTTCTTTTTTAGTTCAGCTTTCTTTTCTGAAATAGATGTAACAAACTCCGTCATTACTACATGACTCACTCATTACATACTCTATATCTTGTTGTTGTTTCTAATGCAACTTGCCACACGGGCAAGCCTGCTTGGTGAAACCGAGCAAATTTAAGGCAGAGTGTGCGTTTCTTGTTTTTCAGTGGCGCCATCTATGGCCAAGAATTCGATTTCTGTCACACCATGCATCGCATCCGTTTTATAGGGCGGACCCAGTCATACATCCATTCATTCATCCACAGATCGTAATTTTGACCTGAATCAGAGAACGATCAATCTCCAATCCAGTAACCCCAGAAGTATTGATTTGTTAAAGGAACATAGAGGACTTTTGCGACTCGATAGATTTAATGTGCATCAGTCACTTTACTACATATTTCGACCGGCAGGGTTCGAACCCACGAAATCTCGGACGTGGTCCCAGCGCCCGTCCGAC